GTAGCTGTTGAGGTCTTTTGGGTGTGGGGTCTTTGGCACTGGTACCACACAGGATGTCTTCCACAGCTGTGGTACTTTCCCTAACCTCAAGCTGAGATTAAAGATGTGCTTGGTCACATCACACAACTCATCTGCACAGGCCTTGAGAAGCCTTGAGCTGATGCCATCTGGACCTGCAGCCTTCCTGGTCTTTATCTTCCTGAGCTCATCTCTCACCTGGAGTGCTGTAAATGTCAGGCTGGACTGGAGGGGTGGGGTGGTTGTGCTGGAATGTATGTCTACAGGGGAGATGTTTGGAGGCAGCTGTGTATGGAGAGGAAGGGGGGTGAGTATGGGAGACTGCAAGTCATCAGCATAGAAGTGATAGGAGACATCATGAAAACTGTCAATGATCTGGCTTAGGGGGCGGATGTAGAGAAGGAAAAGGAGGGGCCCCAGGATTGAACCCTGTGGTACGCCACAAGTGAGTTGGGCTGGTTCAGAATAAGTTTGATTTTGAAGTACTGAGAAAGAGCAGTTGGAGAGGTATGAATTAAACCAGTTTAATACAGAACCCGATACCCCAGTGTTTCTCAGGTTGTGTAGTAGAATGTTTGATCAACAGTGTCATAGGCAGAGGAAAGGTCTAAGAGGAGCAGAACGGTGTAGAAGCCACTATCAAAGTCTCCTCCAGATAAAATGCAGTTGACAGTCATATATTGTTTGCCTATAAAAACAGCATTCAACTGTTCAAATGGGTTCATTTAGATCCTAACCAGTTCCTCAGTATTAGTTTTCATACAACAACTGTTTCCAACATGCAGCAGCATTAAGCCGACTCCTTAGAACGAGTCTCAGTGTTGACTTTGTTGTTTCTTCCACATCTTCTCCACTTGTCCTGAAGGTGGGTTTGGGCCGCAACAACACTCTGTTTGCTTTGGCAGACGGTCATGTCAGGTACACCAAGGAGGTCTACATCCCCCGACCACGCAACCCAGAGGTCTACAATGTCATCATTAATCTGCCCAGAGGAACCGTGCTCTACAAGACCTTCATCAACGTGGTGCCCGTCAAACAGGAGAACAAATTCAGACTGGTGGAGCTCGTCTGAAGGATCATCTGGTCAAAAACCAAAGACCACTGCTGTCTGGAGACAGACTCAGTCAGACCTCCTGACTCTGGACCTGATTTACTGACTAGTTCAGTTCTAATGTTCTCCTAACATCACGAACAAAGCCCATCTTCAGTCAGAGCTTAAATTCAGTTGTGTTGCAGTCGAGTTAAATTCTCTTTCATGTTGGCAGTTTAAGGTCGTTCTAATAAATGTCGAGAGGAAAATGTGCAGAAAGGATGTCTGCTTCACATTAAAGGTCCCATCATATTAAACTCAGCTTGTTCTCTGCTCTGTTCAAGTTTTCTGTTTTAAAATCATGTCAAATTAATATTCTCTTGTAACTTTCTTTCCCTACAGGTCGATAGAACAGAAACTTTGTATCTGAATATATAATCTTCCTAAAATTTAACTTGTCAATAGCCTTATGAACTTAACTTTCTGAAATATGAGACATTAAATGAAGATTTCAGAAACTCACTAGCAAAAGAAAGAATGACTTGTATTCATCTTTTTTGAAATTAAGAACAAAAGAAGCAGAAGAGACACAAGAAATATAAAAATAAACAGGTGGGGATTATAAGGAAAAAACAAAGGAATATTACAGTGATTTATTAAGCAAAAGTAATGGTGATATAAAAACAACATGGGGAGTAATGAATAGAGTTTTAAAAAAGCACAAGGCACGATCAGGTATTTCACAATACTTGGTAAAAAGAATAAGGAACTTTATGATCAAACTGAAATAGCTAAACAATTTAATCATTATTATGTTAATGTTGGTCCAAGTCTCGCTGCTCAAATACCAAAAGCTGATAATGACTCAAACAGAAGTTGTGCAAACAGCATCTTTCTTGGTGAAACTGATGAGTTAGAAATAATGCGTGTGGTAAATAAGTTTGTGGATAAAAGGTCAAAAGATTGGGTGAACATGGACATGATGTTTGTTAAGGAAATATAGTCTTATGTTATTAAGCCCTTTACATGTACAAGTCCTTCGCAAAAAATTAGCATATTGTGATAAAGTTCATTATTTTCTGTAATGTAATGATAAACATTAAACTTTCATATTTTAGATTCATTGCACACCAACTGAAGTAGTTCAAGCCTTTTATTGTTTTAATATTGATGATTTTGGCAAAAAGTAAAGAAAAACCAAAAATCCCTATCTGAAAAAATTAGCATATGATGAAAAGATTCTCTAAATGACTTATTAAGCTTATTAATCAACTGAATCAACAAATTAACTCTAAACACCTGCAAAAGATTCCTGAGGCTTTTAAAAACTCCCAGCCTGGTTCATTACTCAAAACCACAATCATGGGTCAGACTGCTGACCTGACTGCTGTCCAGAAGGACATCACTGACACCCTCAAGCAAGAGGGTAAGACACAGAAAGACATTTCTGAACCAATAGGCTGTTCCCAGAGTGCTGTATCAAGGCCCCTCAGTGGGAAGTCTGTGGGAAGGAAAAAGTGTGGCAGAAAATGCTGCACAACGAGAAGAGTTGTCAGTCAGTGATGGTCTGGTGCCATGTCAGCTGCTGGTGTTGGTCCACTGTGTTTTATCAAGGCCAGGGTCAATGCAGCTATCAGGAGATTTTGGAGCACTTCATGCTTCATCTGCTGAAAAGATTTATGGAGATGAAGATTTCATTTTTCAGCACGACCTGGCACCTGCTCACAGTGCCAAAAACCACTGGTAAATGTTTTACTGACCATGGTATTACTGGGCTCAACTGGCCTGCCAACTCTCCTGACCTGAACCCCAGAGAGGATCTGTGGGATATTGTGAAGAGAAAGTTGAGAGACACAAGACCCAACACTCTGAATGAGTTTAAGACACAAGACCCAACACTCTGGATGAGCTTAAGACACAAGACCCAACACTCTGGATGAGCTTAAGGCCACTATCGAAGCATCCTGGACCTCCATAACACCTCAGCAGTGCCACAGGCTGATTGCCTCCATGCCACGCCACATTCAAGCAGTCATTTTTACAAAATGACTCCCCACCAAGTATTGAGACATAACTGAACATAATTATTTGAAGGTTGACTTTTTTTGTATTAAAAACACTTTTCTTTTATTGGTTGGATGAAATATGCTAATTTATTGAGATATGGATTTTTTTTCTTTACTTTTTTGCCAAAATCATCAATATTAAAACAATAAAAGGCTTGAACTACTTCAGTTGGTGTGCAATGAATCTAAAATATATGAAAGTTTAATGTTTATCAGTACATTACAGAAAATCATGAACTTTATCACAATACGGTAATTTTTTGAGAAGGACATGTTTATGTAATTTATCATTTTCAACAGGAACAATTCAATTCAGTTTGTTTATATAGCTCCAAGTCACAACATACGTTGTCTCAGGACACTGTACATAAAAAGAACAATGTAAAGAAGAAAGCAGCAGATTGTGTTGAATCACTTCATCACAGTCTCCCATCCTGAGCAAACGGTGGAGAGGAGAAACTCCCTGCTAATCAGGAAGAAACCTCCAGCAGAACCAGGCTCAGGACAGGAGACCATCTGCCTCGACCGGCTGGTTGGAGGACAGGAAAGAGACACAGACAAACACAGAAGAACTGGTCCAGGACTGGTCCAAACTTAAAGCTCTGTGGCACATAACCATTTATTAAAGATAAATTAAGTACATCTAAAATATAAATATTAATTAAGGGAAATGCTTCTTTGAACAGTCTGGTTGGGATGGGATCTAGCAGACATGTTGATGGTTTGGATGAAGCTATTTTAGATAATTCAGAGCTCAACAGGACAAAAACTGAAAAACTAAACAAAAATTTAGCTACAGCATTCTCTGATAAACATCTACTATAAAGAAGTTTTCTCTCAGTAACTATAAAGTTAGCTAATGTAAACTCAAAGGTTATTAAAAATGGTCAGAACAGGATTGTGAGGATAAATCATTAAATTCTTGCTCTACACCGTACATCAGAACCAGATGAAGAGAGTGAGCAGGTCTGTGGACATTTTGAGTAAAACCAATTGACGCAATTAAATTACTAAAAGCTATATTTAAGCTATCACTTTCATCATTAACATGAATGTTGAAATCTCCCAATATTATAATTTTATCAGTATTTAATAATAAATCAGTCAGAAAATCTGAGAACTCTGATAAAAACTGAGAATAAGGGCCTGGAGGACGATAAATAACAGTAGTAGAGGTTTTTCTGATTTCCATTTTGGATGAGAAAGACTGAGGGACAAAGACTCAAGTGAATTATAACTAATATTTGATTCAGCATTAATTAATAGTTCTGACTTATAAACTGCAGCTACTCCTCCACCAACAAGATCCTCCTGTTGGAACCAGGTTTCAGTTAGAATAAATCAATACATTTCAGAACATTTCCAAACAACATGAAGATAGCCATGATGATTCTCATTTACAAAAATAGTGAGAAACGTGTATTCAGTAATTACAGACCCATATCCTCGTTGCCACAGTTCTCAAAAATCTTGGAGAAGTTATTTGTGAACAAATTATGATTAAATTTGGATAAAACAATATGATATTTACAAGGAGACAAACAACTGTTCCTCCATTTAGAGTTGATTGTGTGGAGATTAGTAGAGTCAGTGAGGTGAAGGTTTGGGGTGTTATTGATGAGAAACTGGTATGAAAAACATAAATTATTAAAGAATAAAACTAAATCGATTGCATTGTTTTACAAAGTAAGGGACTTTTGTTTAATGATAAACTCTATATATGTTTTATAACATTAATTGTTCCACACTTGGTCTATTATGTTGAGATATGGAGTAATGCATGTGAAACTATTACAAATCCTGTTTTTATTTTGCAGAAAAGGGCTATAAGAGTTATCACTTGAAAACATTACTATTATCCCTCTAAAATATTATTTTGTAAACTGAAATTATTGAAATTTTATGATTTGGTTGATTATAACATTTTGTTAGTTATGTATAAGGCTCACCAAAACACATCACCTTTAAACATTTAGATAAACTTTACAGAGAGAGAGGGCTGTTATAATCTAAAGGGGACAGAGATGTTCATGAAACCTAAATTTAGGGCCAGTTTGAAAGAACGGTGCAGCTCAATCCCAGGAGTCAGATTGTGGAATAATCTGGAAAATTATGGTAAAAGTGCCAAATCACTACATGTTAAAGAGAATGATAAAGGTTAGATTGTTAAAAAAATATGAAATAGTATAATATGTATGAATGAATGAATGAAGTTTGAAAAATAAAATAACATTTTCAATTTGATTCTTAGTAGCTACTGTCCTTTCTAAATAAGAATGATCCCATTCAGAGGAGACAAAACTACTGGAAAATAAAGCTCCAAGGTCAGTTGCCACTTTTTCTAAACCTATAAAACCTATAAACCTGCTGCCACTGTAACTGTTTTATTCTCAGTCCCATCTCCAGTTGCTACAATTCCTTAATTCTGTCTGAAGAGGGCGCTGCTGCAGTTTGGATTAATGAGAACAATGTTAATTTGGCCCTTCTGCCTCTGGGCATTCCTCGATCCAACTGTATGCTGGAGTCTGAAGTGTTGATGAGAAATATTTTTTAACAAAGACTAAATACTCCCTGCAGCTGTTGGAAGGACGTAAAATGACCTTCCTTGAACAGGACATTCACAGTAGTTCTACCTTTACATGTCCAGGCATGGAAAGCAGAATGGATTAAAGAGGGTGGTGTAACTGTGTAATCCAGTGTAACTGGATTAGTTGTAATCAGTTCTTTATCTATTGGCACTGGTGAGCAAAGAACTGAGGCCAGTGAACCAGATTGACAAGTTTTGTTCTTTAAGTGCCCAAACAGGTGCTGTTTCCTCTTCCTTTGACTTAGTTACCAAGTTTACAGATATTAGCAGCCCGTTAAAAGTGCATATGCATGGTCAGACCCCCCTTATGTGCTGCCGTTTGTAAAGTTACACAGTCAAACATTACCACCAATATCTTTGTTTTATATAACCTTTTATAAGAAAATAAGAACAGATTTATTTTTCAAAGGCAGTTTTTCACCATATGATTCATACATTTATAAATGTCATAGTTTATAAACTAACTATTTAACTTACAAATTAAATATTTAGTTAACCAGCTAAATATTTAACTTGTGGCTTAAATATTTAGTTTTGAGCTAAATATTTAGCTTGAAACTTAAATATTTAGGCAGCTACCTAAATATTTACATTGCAACTTAAATATTTACGTAGCTAGCTAAATGTTCAAATTAAAATTTTAGCTAGCCTCCTAAATATTTAAGTTGCAAGCTAAATAT